TAATATGGATTTATAAGACTTTAAAAAATCATATGAATTTTTAACAAACATTCAAAATTACAAGAGTCAATAGAAAAATAACAAAGAAATATAACGATATTAGGGGTAGATCATTCTACCTACCTTTTTGTCTGTCTACCTTTGCCTATGACTCTCTAACACCATTTGATCATAACCTGAACAGGAGAGAGAAATGATAAAGATAGTTGAGATTTTAATCTAATGGTGTTATAAAGTGATAGACAAAAAAAGAGGTAGGTAGAATAATGTAACATCCCGTTCTAGAACCAGTTTGTTAACATCGCATTATGATATTAAGCGCAGTTACAATCACATTGGCTCAATTAAAAATCCGGATAAATTTTTCTTTTTAAAACGACGCCGAATTTAAAATATCCAATTGCGTGATCATAACCATATTACCTTGCGGAATCAGATAAACCAAGCTTAACATCATGTTCTTATTCCATTTTTAAACCATTAATTTACTTCTTGTTTATTTCACAACTTCTACTATATTGTAGATCTCTTCGTTAGCTACGCGTGGGTTCAAACCGCGCTCAAATCGGAGCACTGTAGCCCAAGTTATGGGTTTTCTACGAAACGAGCGCGTGAATCCTGCTGATCCCGGCGCGACCGGCGCCAACGAAACAGAAGCTCCCCATCGAAATGGTGCTGGAGGCGCCAAGGTTGGCGCCAGGTGCGCCAGCTGGTGATCCCGGCGCGATTTGCGCCAACTCCGGCGCGATTTGCGCCACGAAACAGAAGCTTTCGAGCAAAATGGCGTGATGTGCGCCAAGTTTGGCGCCAGGTGCGCCAAAGCTCTGAAGGTTTCACCAATTCTTAGTATTTTACCTCTAACTAGAGTTATACATGTCCAATTCACACAATATTGGTCTCTATGGAAAGCTAAGAAAAATATCTACAACTTCCATACATACACCACCGTCCAAATCTATCATATAAATTTCTCTCCATAATTGGTTCTTAGTTCTTGCATAATACAAACACATCTAAAGGGACATACATGCCTTTTTCCTCATGGCTTGTACTAAAATTTGGGCAGCATAATCCTTGTTTTCTCAACAATTCCCAATTTAGAACTAAAGGTACCTAATTGATTCTCAGCCCAACCAATTCAATAACTCAATACATAACAAGCATGCATATATTAAATTTCAAGTAGGCATCATTTACAGTACATATCCATTACAAATCATGGAACTTAGCTTACAAAACACTATGATCATTCCCTTGGCTCCCATCAACAAAAGAGATGACCAAAGGCATGAGCATAGGCTAAGTCCATTCCAATATACAAATCATAAATCTAACATTGCCTATTCATTACAATTCTATACATGTGAGCTACAAAACAACATGTATAATCTCAAAAGAAATGCCACATTTCATGCATAATCCAGATATGGCCACTTGCCACCAGAGGCTCCTGCAGCATCCTTACCTGAAAGGGGGTCCCCACAACACGGGGTGAGATATACGAATATATCCAGTAAACCAGGGGTCCTTGGAGCATCTCTCCACCCCACAGTTCCATATCAGTGTAATAGCAATAACAATAATAATGCAGTAAATACATATCTATGCAAAGTGCAATACATCTCCAGGAGAAATCCCCCGAGCTCTCAAGCTGTCCTAAGGAAACTCAGATGCAAATAGTCCTACTGGCCAGCTAACTACCAAGTATGATTTACGCATCGTCATGCCACATACCAACATAGGGAAACACCATCCTATGCGACACCAAATGCATACACATACGTATAACAAAGCATTACACTATTTTATTGCATTTATATACACAATCACAACCTCTACCCTTTCAGGGCTTGGTGGAACAGTCAAGGGAATTACACCCAAGGTCCGAAGGCTTACCTCAATGCTTTAGTCGACCTTTGTTCTTCACCAACAGTTTCAGCAATCAACTTTTACAAACATACACCCATTTCAAGGACTAATCCATCTCCATTGCTTGCTCCAAAGGTTGGTCAATTAAGGTTGATCCAATTGCCTCAATCCTAGACAACACAAGGATACAATCAATGACCAACCAAACAATGGCTCAACAATGCAAGAAAACTCATAACCAAGTGTCGTATTCTTGCAATTTTACAAGTATACTCATTTAGCTATCTAAGCTCATTTTCACCGATTAAATGACATTCCTAGCATTTTCCATAACATGCTCTAAGCTTCATTCTTCCTAGAACATAGCTAATTTAATAACATTTCATCAAAATCCCTAAAACACTATTCATAAACCCTAACTCATGCAAATTTCAAGGAATCATGAGGTTCAAGGGTTAAAATCTTACCACCAATGGTCACACAACCAAGCAAGGAGCGTTCCTCAAGCTCCCATGGAGGTTGAAGCCCACAAAACCCCAATTTTCACCAAAGGGCCGAATTTTTGAGAGCCAAAATCTCTTTCCACAAAGCTCCCCACTAAGAACTAAGTAAGGATTATGAAAGAGGGCGAGATTCTAAGCGATTTAGGCTTTTGAATCACCCAAAACCATCAAGGTTTCCTCCCTCCTCTCTCTTTCTTCTTCTCTCTCCCTTTCTTCTCCTTCTCCTTCTTCTTCTTTTCTTCTCTTCTGGCGTCGACGAGGGATGGGTGGGAAATGGGTTCTCTTTTGGCTTTTAGTCACTTAACATAGGTTAAGTGGCTTTAAGCGGGTATTGGTTCATCTATCTATTCAACTCCATTAATTACCAAACTTTACCCGAAAGTCTGGAATATTATTCTAGGAATATTACTATTTTTATTTTTATATTTTGGGCACTTTCGCCAGTACCCATTTATACCCCTTAATTTTCATTGAGTACACTTTTTAACTCCAAAGTGACTCAGATTCATTTAATTAAGCATTATACTTAATTTTACTCAGTAAAACATGCTTAATTAATTAATTACACTAGATTTACTAATTGATTAAGATGGGCTATTATAAATAACTTATCCATGATATTAATAAAAAAAGTAAAACCTAATATAATTTTCTCAATAAGTAATTTGATGTCCTACTAAGCAGCAGCTCTCCACATATCTATACTAGCCCTCCACGCATTAGTATCTTCTCATTGCTACTCTTGGGCTTGACCAATGGGTGAAAAATTATCTTCTTCATTTGGTATCAGAGATATGCATATATGTTTATACAAAAAAAAAAAAGAGATATGCATATATGATTATAAGACCCACAATTTTTTTTATTTTGTATATAGAACCTAAAGTTCATGATAAAATTTCGTTTGGAATTTTTTACTATTAATATTGAAAACCTTGAGGTTTTTGTTCTACATAATGAGAGTTTTCTAACCATATATCTTATGGATGTTTTCATTGAGAGTTTCTAAGAAAAATTCGAATATGAATTTATGGGTTTTATTATATGAAAGTTTAGAAAATTTCTCAAATTATTTTCAATCGATACATTGAAACCTTAAATTGCTTTGGAGCTTTTGAAAAATAAGTTTTTAGTGATCTATTGATACAAAAGTTGTTTGAAACTGTTTCCTATAACGAAGGAATTTCGTTCATGAATGTATTGCTACGAAACATAGTATTCATATTATGAAAGTTTCAATATTTTTTTATATCGATCTTGTTTCATTGATGTAAAACAAAAATTAGTTTTGGGTTTTTTATTCTCCTGCTGTTTTCCCATTGTTTTATATTATTTTTAATACAAAATCACCTATTTATGTGCCAAGAAAAATCATGACCCATAGATTGAAAAATCATTTTTTAAACTTCCAAAAGCTTTCAAAAATCGCTAAAAAATTTGCCTTTTTTGAGCTGGAATAGATTAGAATTATGTTGAGTTGTTGTTTCTGGGTTGTATTGTGATGAAAATCGCTCTAAACTCTGCTATTTTTTTAGCTTTGACGAAGCTCTCATAACGGAACCCGATTTTGAGCGAGTCAACCCACAAAAGAAAGAAGAAGCACTGCAATATAGAAGTTTTAAGAAATCCTAAGGGTTAGGGCAAGATTGTGAGATAGACATCATATTTATACTCCTCACTATAAAGTCTCACGAAATCCACACCAATAGAAAATCCACTAAAATCGTCATATTTTTGAATAACACAAGATTATTTTTTCTCTGTTTAAAATCATGATTGAATACTACTAGATTTGGATGAACTCTAAAATAATCTTTTTTTTTTTTTTTTGGTAAAGTAATCTTTTAATCTTTTAAAATCCTTTTTTTTGTAGGTTACAAGGAATAGAACACACAACCACACACTCACACATACCTTATTACACACACCCACACCACTAGGCTAGCCCTAGTGGATAAATCTTTTAAAATCCTAATCGAATACTACGCGACCTTTTTTTAATCATTTAAAATCTTAATTGAATACTAATAATAATTTTTTTGCCCAAAAATAATTCATTAAAATCCTTAAAAATCTCACTCCAATACACAAAAAAAAATTTGGTACTCGAGATCCCATGTGGTCTTTTCAAATACGAGGTGGCACTTGGACAAAAAATTAATTTTTAGGTCTCTTATCTCTGAGAATATCTTTGGTACAACAGATGAATCGAAAACTCGATGCATCTTCCATTTATTTTATGACACGTGTCTTATTTTATATCACATCATTTTCTCTCCTAATTTTAAAATAAATTATTTATTATTGATTTGACAAAAATAAGACATGTGTCACAATATGAGTGGAAGATGCACCGAATTTACGGTGCATCTGTAGCACCAAAGAAATTTTTTTTATCTCCTCTCTCCTCATTAATTGTATGATTTTGATTGATACAAATTACTGAATTAATGTTGGTCCGAACTACTGAAATTTTTCTCCCAATACACCGACAACAATAAAAACTAGATATTCTAATAACATGAAGGGTGTTGTTTACTGTTTAGGGTTTAATGGAAGCATGTATATTATAGTAGGCTAATAGTCCAATCCAATTAAAGTCTGTAAATTATGGCCATTACATTCACATGCTTGGATTTGGATATAGCCATAGCCAATAAGAAAATAGCATAGCATATTAAATTTGCAAGGTAGGAGAGGCAGAGAAGATGGCTGGTGTGCGTAATCAAAGCCAAAGAGTATGGTATAATTTGTTTGCATAGCAATGGCCTCATCCTTAATGTTACCAGCAGTTGCAACATTGAAACCTTGTACCACTCTATCATCATCATCATGTTCACGAAGACTTGCTCTCTTTAACCTTGTCACTGCCGGTGGTATTGGTAATCTCTGTACCTTTCTTCACAAAACCCTCAAAGCCTTCATGGTATTTGTTATAACTTGGTTCTCTGCTGCTTCATTAGGTTATTCAGCTCTCCCACAATCCCAGTTGTTCGGTGCAAGAGGATTAGAGTTGTTTAATGTAGCAGAAGCTACTGCTGCAGAAAAGCTAGCCCAACCAGACCAAAATTTATTTGACTGGGTCAAAAATGACAAGAGAAGATTTCTCCATGTTGTGTACCGTGTTGGAGACTTGGAGAAAACTATAAAGTACGCTCTAATTGAATTTGGGAGATGATACTCCACTGATAATTAACGTATTATGTATGTGAAATTTGATTCAGTGATGTATGGTTATAGAATTAGATTACATTGTTGGGATGCAGGTTCTACACTGAATGCCTTGGTATGAAGCTATTGAGAAAACGTGATATACCTGAAGACAGATATTCAAACGCTTTTCTTGGATATGGGCCTGAAGATTCCAATTTTACAGTTGAACTTACTTACAGTGAGTTGACATTTCAAAACTACTTTTTTTATTTTATTTTATTTTTGTAAAATCATTGTGCATATGCTTACCATTTGTCACAAAATGGGTTCTTATCATACTTGGTATTTCATGGTGATTGCAGATTATGGAGAGGATAGCTATGACATTGGAACTGGTTTTGGTCATTTTGGTATTGCGACCGAAGATGTAAGCTCTTTTGAAAATATAATAAAGCAAAATTGTTTATAACTTCTGTATCTTCAATTCAGAGTATAGAAGCTGTTTGCTTCCCATTAATCCATTTTGGTTTTTGTTTTCCTTGAATATGGAAGACCAACTTATATCTGACTGTTATTTTGGATAATCAAGTGCATTGTGAACCTGCAATTAAACATGTTCATGTTGAATGACTGCCTAGCATTTAGCTTCAATTAATGAAGTCTTTAATCAAGGTGTGTTGTTAAATGCTTTTGTTATCATCACATTATGAAAATCCTATAGGAACTGAATGGCCGTTAAGAGGGCCTTTTGGTACAAACTCTCCTTTTCTTGGTGCTTGGTGTTCATTTATGCTGTGTGAGTTTTCTGAGACAATTCAGATTATTGTGGTTTTATACTGCAACTTCGTAGGTTGCTAAGACGGTGAATCTAATAAAGGCAAAAGGGGGAAAGGTTACCAGGGAACCAGGGCCTGTCAAAGGTGGAAGCACAGTTGTTGCTTTCATTGAAGATCCTGATGGTTATACGTTTGAGCTTTTGGAGAGAGGACCTACTCCTGAACCCCTATGCCAAGTGATGCTACGAGTGGGTGATCTTGATGGTGCCATAGCCTTCTATCAAAAAGTGAGTGGTTTTTACTGCTCTTATTGTGAAGGTTCCTTCATGAAGAGAATTTCAGCTTGCTTAGATGTTAACTCACAAGTAGCTTAATGCTTTTCCTTGTCTTTGTTAATTTCAAAGGCTCTTGGCATGACACTTCTCCGCAAGAGGGACAACCCTGACTACAAGGTAGCTTCTACTTTAGGCTTTAATCAGAAGCATGGCTATTTGTGTTGCTCACATAACTATTTTAATTCATGTTTATAATTTCTACATACTTAAGCTTACAGGGGGATATGCTGACTAAAAAAGTTGTGCATCCTATGTGATTAGTCTACATAAAGCTTGAACATGGACATTTTCTCCACCAAGATATTAGCTTAAATAGCTTCAAGATTAGTATGCACATACTTAAACAGAACTGTTAAGTTGGCCACCTTGGGTGATCCCTGAATGTATTTGGTAGGAGTTGTTAAAAATCTCAACATTTTCCATGGTAATATGGTTCCCCCATCTGTCTATAGGTTTAAAAACCATCTGCTATTTTGGAAGGGTAGGTGTTAATGATTTCCATTCAAATGAAAATCTAACAAGTTTCAGACATTTAATGCCTGTTCTGACAAGTTTATGCTAATTTTATTCTTGGATTGTTGTGAAAAGTATGTTCTTCATGATAACTCTGCTATGCTTTCCGTGTCTATCTACAGCTGTTCTTTGTTATTGATTATGATTGTTTTCCAGTACACAGTAGCCATGATGGGCTATGGTCCTGAAGATAAGAATACTGTTCTAGAACTGACATATAACTATGGCGTCACCAATTATGACAAAGGAAATGGTTATGGACAGGTCCATTCTATTCTTTTCTATTTTCAAAAGTGGATTTTTGTTACTTTTGCATGTCCTTATGACTGTTTGCGGTCTGTCATTGTAAAAATGCAACTCGTTTTGTTTTTGAACAGATTGCAATAGGCACAAATGATGTCTATAAGACAGCAGAAGCAATCAAATTGTGTGGAGGGAAGATTATCCGTGAACCTGGGCCCTTGCCAGGTATCGACACCAAGATAGCAGTTTGCTTGGACCCTGATGGTTGGAAATTGGTATGAACTTTTAATCTGTTTGTTCGTATCTGACTTATTAGTGCTTTAAGACTTTAACCTTGTCATTAACAAAATTTGCTTACATCCACTGATGAAATCATAAGCGTATATTTGATGAATTGATGGATAGAATGTGCAATGCGTAATGAGAGTATAATTGCGAGAGGAATGACATGCGGATAGATTAATGATTTATGTAAAGCACCAAACTGGAAAATCATGAGGAAACTTTATAATTTAATTTGTGCTTCAAATTTTCTGATATTGTCTTCTTAAGAGTTCTTCAATCGTTTACCTCTTAGACTTTGTGTGTAGCATAATGCACTGTTGGAAGCCTTCCAAATTATGTTGGTACACCTTAGTTTATCTTATAGTTTGACTTATTTATTACTTCATGCAGGCATTTGTTGACAATATTGATTTTCTGAAGGAATTAGAGTGACAATAGCATGGTTCTATATCCTCCACATCTTCATTGAAGTTATGGTACTATTAAGACTAGAGATTTTTTCAGTGAAATCTTTATAGCCGTACTGTAAAATCTCCATCTCTATAAGTAATCCCTTCAGTCAATCAATGTGAGGGGGGAAAAGGAAAGAAAAGTAAAAGCATATTTACAGCAATCCCAATGACCAATGTCAACCCTGGTATTTTTATTATTATTATGTTACTTGGGCACGGCAATTCAACATATATTGGATCCCCTCAAGCCAGAACTGTTTGTATCCTTTACTTTCACATTCAAATTCTATTATCCTGTCTGCTGTTTTTATTCCAAAATATGCCCTGTTTTCACTGATGTCTTCCTTCTCCCTTCCGGGCCAAGCTGGGATATCACTGCAAACTCCAGTGACTATATCTGCCATTTTTGGCCATACATTATTGACAGAGAGTGGCAAGAAAAAAATGAGTGCTTTGTACTAAAGTAACTAAACATTGCTTACATTTCTTCGTTTTCGTGAATGTTCCTGCCATATGCTTGCTTTTCATTTTGGCTACAACCTGTTGTCATTTTGTGTTGAATAGATATTCCAAATAATTAACAACACATAATCATGCTTCTCTCTGATCTATGAAGTGATAATTTTCAAAGAGTTAATATTTGAAACTCTGTCCATGTATATAAAAGTAGTTTACATTACACTATTTTTCCATTTCTGATTTCTCACAAGGCTCCCCATGGTAGGAATCTGGTGAGGGTCATATGTACCAGCCTTACCCTCTGCCCTGAGAGGCTGTTTCCGCAGCCATCTTTACAAAAATATTTCATTAAAAAAATTACAAAACCTAAATATATCATGCAACGTGAGCATTTTATACACATCTGCGCTCATACTTTGATATAGAAATCTATAAAAGTCATTATTACTAGAAAAATTTGATCAGTTGACGCCTTGAGTTTTATGAATACTAATACTATTGTTAAGATTTGCTTAGAGTTGAAGCATATGTATAGTTGATTGACATTACATTTTTAGTAAGGCCAAACTTAGTTTCTTTATGTTACTTCTAATTATAAATTTAAAGCTCCTAGTGTATTCATTTCTATACATTGACAATGTAGCAAATATTAATCTTTTTCAAGATTCGTTAAATTGTCTGGAGAGCTTTACTTTGTATCCAACTTAGAAATTATTAGAACTCATGCCTATGATTTTGTTAATGGATGGATGAATTGTCCTGTAGCAATTACCTGCAAATATGAATTTATATTGAAAGACACTTGCTTCCAGTGAAGAACTCCTGTTATTGACAGTTAAAATAGCATGGTTACTTACGTTAGAAGTGTAAATTGCTTTATATATTTGGCATTCTTTTCTTATTCTTTCCCATTTCAATGAACCCATTATTGAAAGCATGTTAGTAAACATACCTTTTCTAGTACGTTTGAGAAGTTCTCCTCCTCTAAAGACACAGTCCAGTGCTGTCAAGATGTTTGCTTCTTTGCCTTCATCACACTTTTCCTCAACCAGAGGAATTGTAGTGGTTCCAAGCCCCTTCTGCAGCCTTGCCTTTAGAGTAGCAGCTCCTCGCAAGGCTGGAAACAAAGCGTTTACTTCATTAGATTTCTCTCATTTTTTCTTAATATCTGACGATATTTGAGGGAAATGAACTCATAAATTGTAGGTTTTAGCCCACCTACATATATAAAGTATATTGTTCTTTTCATTTATTTTCCCTTTGAACTTTTTTGAAGCCAGATGACCTGGTAAAAATGCAAATTGAGCAATCTACCCTAGGATTAAACTGGTTTGGTGTATGATCTTTCCATGCAATCTACTTACATAAAAAATAAGTGAAGCTGTTTGAAACCATAGTTCACTTTGGTCTGAGACAGAGAAATGAACTTTAAATTCTGATACCTGTGGCGGCTCCAGCTGTTAGAGTCATTATATCTCCATTGGTTTTTGCATTAATGGCAGAGTGGACTACTGCTATGATTTGGGCGTGTTCAGCTCCCATATCTTCTGCAATCTCAATGCAGTGAGAGGCTACTAAAGCTGCTGCAGATGCAATTGCTGCAGAAGCCATTGGAGGATTCTTTTGGTTGACATTAGGCATTTCAGATGATGCTGTTGAAGCTGCAACTGCTGCAATAGCGGCAGCTACACCTGCCACAGATACTGCAGCATGCAACTGTGCATTATGGCTCCTAATTTCCTGCTTTTTCCTCTCCTTTTGATCTTTCAACCACCTACCCATTGTCCTCCCTCTTAGCAAGCTCCTGTAAAGCTGGTGAGCAATAATTTGCACCAAGAATTAAAAAAGAAATAAGAAAAAAAAATACTCAGTAGTAACAGATTGAGCTAGTATTTGAGTATAATTGATGAAGATAATCACAAGGTTGAAAGCAAGATACCCCATTTCTGAGCAAGTTTTGACTGGAAAGTAATTCCGGATTGAGTGCTTGATGGAGAAAAAATAAATCCTGCACCTGAAAGATTACTATGTTGTTATTATTTTATTTTTTTGGTATTCAAACTGGTTTAATCCGATTAACTTGGACTCGAAATCTCTGGTTAAGGGAACATGCTTCTTACCACTTGAACCAATGATTGTTAGTACTATGTTATGAATTTATATACACTAAAGACTGACTCGTTGGGTAAAACCTTGTAGTTGGTGTTAGCAATTGATGGTGCGCAGCTATTGACAAAAGGAAACTAAAACAACTTGATGATTGACTTATCTGAATTTCCCGCGGGTTAGTAGATTTTATAGTGAAAAGTCAAGTTCATTTAGCTGGCAAAAGAAAAAAACAGTTCTTCATGAAAGCATGCTGAAGACAAATAACAAGCTTCAAATTCTTAATTGAAACTGAAAAATAGGCCAAATTGTTTCTTGTGCGTTATGATTATATTTATCACTATATTAGTTTAACATGAAGCAGTAAAGTACCTTCGTTTCGTCACAATCTTTTGGCAAAATCGGAGGGCAACACCCGTTAGATAACTGCTCAAATAATTTTCATCAGAACCAATATTAATATATTAAAGCAACAGGCACACACACACACGTGACAATATTAGATGCCTCTTAATATTGAAGAATCCTAGGATCAGGAAACAAAACAAAAAAAAAGGTCTAGGTTTTTGGGAATTTTCTTTCCTTTGAAATTCCCTTTTTGGAGGATTTAGAATCTCTCCTTTTTCCTTTTCTTTCCCCGGCAGGTGTGTGTGCGTGCGCCATAGAATCTGTTGTAAGAGAACTAACATATATAGCTTTTGCATGATTTTCAGTTTACATGCAGCATGGTCAACTAGAAAGGAAGAAGTAGCTAAAACTAGTAGTACTAAAGGCCCAATATAAACAAACCCTTTAAATTCTCAAACAAAACCAAAGCAAATATTCTTACAGAATCCTTTGAAGCAGTGGAACCATTGGGACATAATTGGTTACCAGAAGGACATGAAAGTGGCATCTCAATACCAGTGGAAGTTGTAATATTGGTGCTGTGTAGTGCTTTTGAGAGTTCCATGGCTGAAAGACTCCATGATCTAGCAAGGAACTCCATAGATTCAGTTGGAGTATCAGGCTGGACACAAGATGATGCAGGCCAATCTACATAAGCATTCTCATCTATGTTCCCCAGTTGATGAACTGAGCATTTAGAGTTAGAGGTGTTCGAGCTCACTGACATTGAAAATAATCATAGAGAATGAATTAAAAGCTTTCATCAGAATGAAGATTAATCATAAGAATTAAGTATGCTTATACTCTCATATGATAACTTTTAGAGGCCGAAGAAGAAAATTCAGTTGTTTTGGAATGGACAAAAAAAAAAAAAAAAATTATTCATTCTACCTACTAACTAATGTTACCACTTACTCGTAAAGATTAATACCCTAAGGCCTCAATCACTCAAGATTTAGGAGACAGGGGACATAAAAAAACATCATGGTAAGAGTGAGATTTGAGAGCAAGAACAAGATTATGAGAGGACTGATGAGCAAACAGTGAGGTATTTAACAAGAAAATGTTACGTTTTTTTCAATGTTTTTTTAATTGAGGAAAATGAAAACAACGTAAAAGATTCTTAGTGCTCAACGAGAGGACCCAATTTTAAAGGTCATTCATTCTTGTCTCCAACTTAAACGGTTGCTTTTGATTTCCACCTCTTAGTGCTCTATGCATAAAGAGAAGACCTGTTTTTATGGCAGCCGAGTTCATCATTACTCGGATTCTCCTTTGTCACCATTATCACTTTCTAAAGTAGAGTTTTAAGGACCCATTTGTACGCTCTTTCTTTATTTTGTGATACCAAAAAATAGATAACTTAATAAATGCCTGTTTAGAAGGCTCTGCCAATTGGTTCCTGATACAAGTTTATCATATATACGCGTCCGTCATAGGTGGCGTAGCCGGGCTTCAATGTGAGCTCGGGACAAAAATTATATATATATTTATTTTTTTAATTTTAATTAATAATATTATAATATATTTAAATTTTGTTAAATACAAAACATCTGAGCAGACAACATTAAGAAAAGTTATAATTTTATTAAATATTTGTTAATTTTTTTAATACAAGTGAGAATTAAATACATAACCTAATATAACTTACTAAATATATTTTAATTTTTAAATAGAGCCAAATACAAATTTTAGACCGAGTCAAATTATAATTATATAATAAGTATAATTTATTAAAGGAAAAACTTCAAAAAAACCCCTACATGTTTCCTCAAAATCACTTAACCCCCTCCCCGAAATTTTTTAATCATTTACCTCTCTACTTAATTTTTTTTTATCACTTACTACCCTAATTTGATTTTTCATCCAAAATTTTGTTAACAGAGTTGATTTTTTAAAAAAATACCAAAATTACCCTTAATAGAAAAAAGAAAAACATAATTTCTTTTTTATTTTTTTGTATTAACAAAAAAAAAATTAATCATTACTAATTCTAACAAGGCTACCTTAAAGAAAACATTCTGTGAGTTCGTCTAAAACTGTGTTGGTGAAAAAATTATGTTTTTCTTTTTTCTATTAAGGATAATTTTGGTATTTTTTAAAAAATTTAACTCTGTTAACAAATTTTTTAATGAAAAATCAAATTAAGAGGTAAGTGATAAAAAAATTTAAATAGGGAGGTAAATGATTAAAATTTTTGGTAAGGGAGTCAAGTGATTTTGAAAAAACTTGTAAAGACTTTTTTTTGAAGTTTTTCCTTTATTAAAATTTAGCCTACCGCCTCCAGCCACTATGTGGCTAACTGCGTCCGTGTTTGCTGTTTTTTACAGTTTCCCGCGTGACTCTTCTTTTTGTCAATTAAAGCAAAACGACAAAGGGTTCTTTTCTTTCATTTTTTACTCCATCTTTTCTTTAATTTTGTTGCTGATTACTGAAAGAGATCATGCACATATACTTATACATACAGATGTCAGGTTACTACAATTTGGCATTCTATCAGTCCAAATATAAGACATCTAAGTTACCTCCTACATTCCTTGACTGAAGGTCTAATTACTTATCATTTTATTTTTTTTGCCCTTTTTTTATTTTATAAAAAATTATGCAAAAACATTTGCAGGGTCCTTTATTTTACTAGTTTGGATTGTTGAATGTTTGCTTGCAGTTGCACTTCTAATTCTAACTACCACAGGAAAGTTTATTAGAAAGTAGAATACTAACTTATGTCCAGAGATGAACAGTCTAAGTTGGATTCTAACACCAAATTCAACGAAAACAATATGGATCCGATACGTTTCAATAAACAATGAATTAGATTGATTTTTAAATAATTCACTTCTTGTTGGGGAAGGGGTACAATTTGATTGTATTCATATCCTAACAAACCTAACTGTACACAGGAAAAAACGACCAAATTTGTGTACTGAAATTCTTGAAAGAAAAAACAAAAGGTGATTAATTGATGACTGGGACAAATGGCTTCCCCTCAACCATGCATGTTTTTCTCATCATAATTGTAGAGAAAATGTAAACCCGCCCAACTACCTCTCACATTTTTAAGGTCTACAGATGATGACCCTGAGACCTGTGTGGACATCAACCAGCATACCTTGTTCTTCCAAATTGTTCAACCTCGTTACTTCCCCACTTTCCCTACTCTTAAAATTGGGCCATCCACCACTTTTCAGCATGATGTACCCGCCAGTACATTAGGTAAAATGATGTCATGTGCAGGAAGTTTGTTATGTCATAGGTTCTTGCTTGTCATAACTGTCTGCTGTTCCTACGGTTAAGTGAGTGCCATGACATATGCAACAGTGAAAAAAAAAAAAAAAACCTCCAAGTGACTTCATCAAAATCCTGTTTGAGAAACAAACAGAGTCAGTTGCTCAGCCAAATATTCTACAAATATGGTTATAGCATTTGTGATAGTCAAAATATAGCATACTAAGCGTAGAGTTAAACTTCATATTATAGTCTTATAGATAAGCGATTTTCTTACCTACTATTTGGTTGAAGAAATTCGGCGTAGTGAAGGAATCCAGCTGCTTGAAGCACGAGGATTACTCCCAAATACACGACCCAGGTTTGAGGTTGCAGGTTTTGAGACATTTTCTGTAGAGGAACTGGGCATTGCAGATGAAGTAGATGGACCATTGTTCACATTCTGCAAAATTTTATCTCAATCAAATGAGTTTCTTTAGCCAAATAAAAATTCAAAATAAAAAAATCAGTATAATTAACAACTCAAATATGCAGAGAGCAGCCAGTTCACCATATCTTAGAAATTCATAGACCTTTTATTTTTGAAAGAAGGAATAGAGCAAGAAAGCCACCGGTGGAAATTTCATTAAGGTGACTTACATGTTTCTCGGTCTGATTCTTGGCATTCAGATTCCGAACATTAGATGGCTTAGGCTGCACACGTGCACTTGGTGGATCAAGATTGGCTAACAGTTTTGTTACACTAATTTGAGCTGAATCATTGACTCCTGAAAAGGGAATGTAAGGCATAGGCATCAGGATGTAATCTGTAGAAAGCATTACTTCACCATACTGCAAATTTGTAAGGCTATCTTAGCTCAACACTGATACAGATAAGAAAAAACTCCATATGAAAAAAAAAAAACAAGGAAAAATAATTAGAAACAGTTACTTAGGAAATATCTGTCCATATTGACCACTATCTTAGCTTATCAGAAGCAATATGATTTGTTTTCAGAGACAACCAAGTTCCATGAAAAATAACCCACAAAGTATAAGTCAGCAAACATCTCCTTTCCTTTTAACTTTTTCTTTTTCTTTTTCCAATGAGCATTAAAATGTCACGTTAAATTCTGATTTATTCTATTGGAAAATACGTATCTCAGCATGCAAATCAAATAACATAATACAACACTACTTTTCAGGGGAAAATTCCCGATAAAACAGAATTCCTTCAATCACATGATATGATATCGAAGTTACCTTTATGCTTATCCACAACCACTGGTTCTAGACTGCTAGGCACAGCAGCTGAAGGCTGAAAATTGTCATACACTCAAGTGAGAGAGAGAATAAAATCAGGAAAGTTTAATATGTAAGCTATCAGAAAATCCACATAACTTGTGCATTCCAGTAAATGCAAGTCATACCATCATAAAAAGAGAATGTTTAGAAGAGTTGATACCAATACCTAAGGTTTTGAATTCTATACGAAAATAAAAAAAGTAATAGTCAATAGGTCATAGACTCACAAAGAGAGAGAGGAAGCTGGAGTAGATTTGATGAAAACTTTCAAACACAAGGGGGGTAGAGAGAAAGAAACTATATTGAATCATGGCAGGCAATTTATTCAAAAATAGTCCAAGAAAGTACTAACAGATGATTGATTTTGTCTCTCTGTCTGTTGCCTCTGCTGATATTTTAGGACGGTCCAGTCAAATACATTGTCAGAATCATATCCTGCTCATTACATTCAGCCAAACAAGATTTTATTACATTGAGGAAGAAGCTAAATATAACACAAATGGGACCACCGGAAACATGGTAAATGAAACTTTGAAACCCTAAGATCAGTAATGCATGATACAGTAAAAAATATTTATTTCCAAACACTGACAAACATTAAGAATTAAATGAAATAATTTATTGAAACAAAGAGCCAATACCTTCACGAGTGAACAAATCACGAAACAGGCGCTTCAAGTATCCATAATCTGGGTGTTGATCAAATGTCAAAGAGTGGCAATAATGAAAGTAAGAAGCGAACTCCACGGGAAATGACTTGCAAAGCATCTAAAAACAAGAAATGAAGGATCAGTAAACTTCTATAAGTAACAAAAAATTTCAATAAGAAAATCTCCCTGGAGAGGATGAACTAAAATTTATGTAATCCAGTAATAGCAATCATTAAAAGCTCTTAATTTAATTGTTTAGTCAAGACAGTCACGGTTTCAAGTATTCAAACTTAGGTTTGGGACTGTAGTTGCTTGTTCCTGTTTTGCATAATTTCAATTGCCATTTCACACCCTTGGATTCGCCAACACTTTGGCTTTGCTTTCCACTTTTAACACAAAAAAATAGAAAAAGGCTTGGGGGGAAGCCAATCCAAATCTATTGTAGTGTAGCCCACAGTATGAGGGCCAGAGAAAAAGAAAATTGAAAACTGTATTGGGTACAGAGGATCAGTGATATTATGAAATTGAAAAAATCATATACCTCAATGGGAGTTGATAACTTCTTCTCACAAATCTTATCATATTTTTCTTTTTTGCTGACAGCTTTCAGGCCCTGCCAAGGAAGGCTAAAATGCAAGAACTAGATAGTCAAGCCCTATACTTACCTGAAAAACATGTGCAATTGATACTCATGCACTGTTTTTTTTTTTTTTAAATAAAAAACTCAAGATGCTTGGAAAATTATAATGAATACAAAGAAACATACCTTCCTTTTAAAAAGTACATAAGAACATATCCAAGAGACTCCAAATCATCGCGACGACTTTGCTCTAACAAAATAAAACCAAAATTGTGGGAAATTTGTAGGTTACAATCTGTAGCTGTAAATAAGGAAGAGTTCTCTCTACTTACCAATTCCTTTGTGAGTATTGCAACTTGCATAACGCGCAGTCCCTGTTAAGTTTTTATTTTCTCTGGATGAGTTTATCAAGATTAAAACAAATATTAGGCAATAATACCCAGGCTAATTAAACTTAAACAGGTAAAGCACAAGTAACACTGAGAATGAATCAATCAGAAGAATACGGAAAAAGAATTATTTAAGATTACACAAATTACAAGTTGGAAGACATTCCATTGATTAACAACAATGAACATTTAATTTGGAAAATAAAAGAATATCTATTTTAGCAAAATAGACTGCAAGGACAGTATAGGCAATGGTTCCACCACTTAGAAAAAAGTCTTGGTGATTATGTTGTTACATGGTATCCAATAAAGAACACAATTTAAATTTATCTTCTGTTTAGTATTTTTCTTCTTGTTTTTCAGTTTTGTACTACATATAAAGCCTACCATGACATTGAAACAATCAGGTTCCATTCAGTCACAAATCTAGAACTTTTGTAAAGCATTAAAATGAAGAAACAAGAAGAAACTGTATCGCTTAGTTAACATCTTATCATGAAAATAAGTTTTTTTAACTTTTTAGGTTTTTGAGAGAACTATAATCAGCAGCAGAAAGATTTCTCAGCTCACCATTTAATTATTATCGAAAATCAAAATGAAAGCATCTTGGCAAATGGAAAACTAATCAACTAGATTTGTGACACTAGAAAACCTTACAACACACAGGCCAGACATGGGAAAACAAGATCATAAGATTCATAACAAGAAGAGATTAAAAAAAAAAAAAACCTAAATAGAACAAAATATACCTGTAAGGAATATGCTTGTTTGTGTTAGGGTCCCTATATCTTTTTGCAAGTCCAAAATCAATAATGTAAACCTGTGAATGTAACAAATTGCAGAAAACATATATAAGAAATTGGAAGCATAAAAGGAATTACCAGATAGGAAAATTATCCACATAAGTTAGCCATTAAAGAGAATGAATTTTGGTAATGTTACCTGACTTGCTTTCCTCCCAAGACCCATAAGGAAGTTATCTGGTTTGATGTCCCTATGCAAAAATCCCTTGGAATGCAAGTACTCTATTCTTGTAAGCTGTAGTCAAGTAAATAAAACAAACTTAATTATCTGTTAATGTGCGTTCATTGTAAACTCCCATGGATGGGATCGAAGCATTAACCAAAAGAGGTAAATTTTAGAGACAAAACTGCTAGAGTTGTTTGCAGAAACACGGTAATATCCAGAAGCCAAAATAAAAATCAGTGAGGAACAAATGCTGATTTCTTTAAAACCTAAGTAAGCAATCCTGATATGAATCAGTGGTTACCATCTGATCGGCCAACATCAAAACTGTTTTTAATGAACACTTCCTGCCACAATAGACAAAAAGGTCCTCGAGACTTCTTCCTAGAAGATCCATAGCTAGAACATTATCATCTCCATCAGTACCACACCATTTCATACTTGGAATACCACCTAAAATCCAAAGAGTAAGAGGAATCAGAAACAAAAAAATAATTTAACTTAATGCTTGGCAAATGTTTTGAGAGCATTTAAATTATTGAAGTGCTTCATTAATAACTTACTTTCTCCTTGAAAAATATTGTATAACTTGGCCTCGTACAATAATTGTGGATGTTTGGTCTTCTTGTTTTCCTACAAAATAGTAATACGGCTGTTATTAATCACCATTAGACCATATGTCAGTTCTTGAATGATTGGATATGAAGGTATGTCAAAAGAAGAGAGAAGGGGGGGGGGGGGGGGGGGGGGGGAGTAATGCAAACTTCTAGCAAGTATAGTTCTCTTTATTAAAACTTGACCGAAGTTTTTATTTACGATGGTTTACGCACTCTGCTTATTCAAACACTTATCCCTAATTCCATTTAATCAACCGCATACATCCAACTGCAAAATGTTATGACAAGAGAAATTAATCTTTTACTTCAATCTGCAAGAAAAATAAGCTCAAACATGTGTAATTAAGATAAATAGCTGGGCTGCTAGTTTGGAAATAGAAAATACTGCAAGACAATTATTTCATGCTTAGCTTAGTGGAACATCAACTCAATCAGTTTTAGTCTCCTTTGGTGGTACTTAACAAGCAGTGTGGGGTTAACATTACATGGATGAAACCCGAGTACGACTCTCACGATTAGACAAGTTTTATTTGTGTGTAGAATCAATTAATGTAGTATTGTTTAAAGAATTAAGAGATGTCATATCACTTAAATTATTTTAAATTAGCTTCGTAAAATTTAAGTTGAACTTAACTAATTTTTTATAACAGAATACATGAAAAATAAAGCTATATCAAGGAGTGTGAGTTTGGAAGAAGAAAAGACCTATTCGAATAATAGAGGTTAGAGACAATACAAATGATGCATCTTCGCTTGGAATGGCAATGACGAATAATTAGATTTTTTATTAATTTTTTTTTTTCATTTTCGTTGGTGTTATTATACAACATGACAAGCGCATGCAGGACTAGCAAACATGAAAACTGAAAACAAGAAAAATAAAATTAAATTCAAGGAAAGCAAAATTTGAGAGACATGTAAGAAAAAGACTGTACCATCTTAACGGCGACAATCTCAGAGGTGTCGATATTTGAGGCTGGAAAAAGAAAAACAAAAAACAACAACAAAAAGGTGAAAAACAATAATCAGCAGAAGACGCATAAAAGGAAGATGAAACAACGATAACAACGTTTGACGTATACTCCGGTCTAGTCTTCTTACCAATATAAATTTCACCGAATGAGCCGCTACCGATTTTCCGACCAATCTTGTACTTTCCGCCAACGATCCTCTCCATGTTTATCGATTGGTGAGCTTTCACGGATGCTGAGAAAAAGAAGAAGAAGAAAACTTTGGCTTTGGCTATGACAATTCTGATGGTGAGTTAAGTGGTTGATTCCGATGTTTTAACCTGTGATGTGCGGAACAGAAAATGGATTCGGTGAAGATGAACAGACAGACGGACAGACAGACAACGATAGATTGAATGGACGAACCAAGAAGGATTAGAGATTTTAAAGCAAAGGTTAATATTGGAATATTGGAATTTTTTTTTTTTTTTTTTTTTTTTGCTTTCAAACAGTTGCTGACCTGTACAACCTCAAAATTCCTATTACCTAACCCAATCCAAATTATCACCAAAAAAAAAAAAAAAAAAAAAACCCAATCCACATTCCACATGCTTTTATAAATTTCCTAGAAGTTGCAGCCTCCTCGCGTGAAAAAAACACGGTTCGGGAACAATGCAAAACAAAAAAGAAAAAAGAAATAAAATAACCGACTCCTTCTCTGTTCTTTATTAAGAAACATTCAATATTTGTGCTACCTTTGTTTTGGATATACATGATCTGAGTCAGCAATGTCTCATAATTCAACTGATTAATGTTAAAATAATTTATGCATTGCGTGCTATTTGTTTACTCGGGATTGGTTGTTATTATCTGAATTGATTACATTACATGGATTATACAGCTACCAAAGTTTTGTTTTGGAAGGGAGTTCAATTGGATTAAATTGTACAATACGGTTGAAAATGAAATCTCAAAACATGCCGCTATTCTATAACATTTATTTAGAGGTAGGATCTTTTGACACCAATGTTAAATTTATAATTTGACACATTATTTAATAGATGTTAGATCAAAAAAAATCAACGACTCTGATTTGTAAGCATGTGACATCGTTGATCTTTTTTGTCTAACGACTTTCAAATGAGGTGTCAAATTTTAAATTTGACACTGGTGTTAAAAGATTCTACCTCTTTATTTTATTATTTTATTTTTTGAACCGCTTGTATTATTCATTAAATATACGTATCTTAAATGTAATAAGTTTTAATAGTAATTTATAACAATAGTTGTAGTATACTATATTTATATTACACTTAAAAATATCCCTATCCATCTTACTGGAAGGGGCGAACGAAGATTGAAGCCTCGAATCTATTTTGCGGAACCAGTACTCTGAGTTCTCACAAGAGATTTGTAAATTAAAACTTTATTTTGAGATTTCATAAAAGTATAAAGTTAAATTATATATCAAATTTTGTATTCGATAAACATTTCACATACTTTTGACTTATGGAATAATAATCCATTATAAACAATTTTAGCTCCCTATTTCAAATCAAATTTACACTTCACACGATCCACATGTATCGTGGGAGCATCTTGAACTAAGTATTCTATTAACTTTATCTGAAGTATTAAAATTTATACTTGCACTCATTTTAATTCTTGATATTGCACAAATTTAATTTGAATTTGGTTGAATGGGACTGGAAACTGTTTTTAACTTAAAATATTGAAAAAATTATTTGTACTTTTAAATGACATAATTTATGTTATTCCACTCTCACAAAAAGATGGAAACCACACCTTTATTTTTTTTTGTCCATTCTCTCCTCTCATTATCTATCTCTTCTCTCACTTAAAATGACACAATTTTACCAGGATCCGGATTCTCTGATGTGAAAAATCACATGACATGGTAAAGTGGGAAATCATAACCATTCAAAGGTGGATCAATGGTAATAAAAGAGGAGAGAGAAAAAATAGTAAAATAGGTAGTTACAAAATCATAACCATTGATTTAACTTTGTATGGTTGTGATCTTCTCACATGACCATGTCATGTTTTTTCTCACATCAGAAGATCCATTTTCATTTTACCATCTTTAAAATGAAACACATATATATATATATATATATATATATATATATATATATATATATATATATATATATATATATATATATATATATAGTTAGGATCATTTTACACCAGTGTAAGTTATACTCTCTCATTTGTATCCACTTGTATCCAATGGCTCATATTACAAAAAAATTAAAGCCCTTAGATATAAATGGGATCAATGATCAATATCAAGAGTGTAACTTACACTGGTATAAAATAATCCTGATCCTATATATATATATATATATATATATATATATATATATATATATATAGGATCCTTTGACACCAGTGTCAAATTTGACACCTTATTTGAAAGCCATCAGATCAAAAAAGATCAACGACTCTGATTTGTAAGCATATGACACCATTGATCTTTTTTGATCTGATGGCTCTCAAATGAAGTGTCAAATTTAAAATTTGACACTGGTGTCAAAGGATCTTACCTCATATATATATATATATATATATATATATATATATATATATATATATATATAGGGTCAGGATCATTTTACACCAGTGTAAGTTACACTCTCAATCTTGTCCGTTGATCCCATTTATATCTAAAGGCTTTAATTTTTTAGTAATGTGAGTCATTAGATACAAGTGGATCAATGGTCAAGATTGAGTGTAAAACTTCTAACTCTTACACTGGTGTAAGAATATATATATATATATATGGGTTATGATCATTTTACACCAGTGTAAGTTACACTCTTAATCTTGATCGTTGATCCTATTTCTATCTAATGGTTCTAATTTATTAGATATTTGAACCGTTAGATTCAAGTAAATCAATGATTCAGATTTGGTGTAAAACTTCTAATTCTTACACTGATATAAGAATATTCTGCCCCATATATATATATATATATATATATATATATATATATATATATGTATATGGCAGGATATTCTTACACCGGTGTAAGAGTTAGAAGTCTTACACTCAATCTTGATCATTGATTCACTTGTATCCAATGGCTCACATAACTAAAAAATTAGAACCCTTAGATATAAGTTGGATCAACGGACAAAATTAAAAGTGTAACTTACACTGGTGTAAAATGATCCTGATCCTCTATATATATATATATTATATATATATATATTAGCCAACTGTCCGAAAATAAAGGGTGGGGCGGTCAAAGAAAGTAGCGTGTGCTTTTTGAGTGGAATCCCATAATAAATGTCTAAATACACATCGTGGGTCAATTCTGTCCAACAATGTTTTAAAAATTAAATTGCCGGTTGGACGCGTGAAATACTCAAGTCATGGTTTCATAAACGTGTCAAGTTGGGTTGAACATAGTCATTTTTGGATTAAGTTAAATTAAGCTATCTTATTATTTATTTTTCAAATAAATAAATAATAATAATAATAATAATAATATATTGTTAGATGAAGGTAAAAAAAATTAGATTTCGGTCAGTGAATGGCATGATAGATTGATTGATTTTATTAGTCTAACTTAGACATTTTATAATGTTATTCAAATTAATTATTGTAATTAATATATTTTGACAAATTAATTTAATCAATTAAATTTTAATTTAATTAAATAATATTTGAATCCAATATATAATTTGTCCAGCTCCAACTAAGCTTGATCGGTTTTTAAACCAAGTCTAAACACATTGTTTTTGGTTACCGATTCTGAGTGGATAATGGTCTTAATTTTAACGCTGATAATTCCCAGGCCTGGCCCAAAAGGTTGGATTGGTGTTGAAATGATGATGTTGCTTCTAGCCACGTAGAAAAAAACTTGGATGGGATAAGATAAAGTGGTACCGTCGTACTGAGCATTCATTCTCTTAATATTAAAATAAGAAGTAATATATTGTAACAACTAATTTATGTTACTATCAATATTACTATCAATCAATTTTATTATTAGATCGATTATGTTGATCCAACAGTTATATTTATTTCCATCTTTAAATGGTTATGATTTGTCATATTTAACGTGAAAGCATTAAATATAAGAAATCATAATCATATAAAAATGAAAATAAATATAAAATATTAAATATGAGGAATCATAATCATACATGGAAATAAATATAACGTTGGATCCACATAATCAATCTAATGGTGAAATCGATTGGTAGTAACATTGATAATAATATTAATTGGTTATTACAATATTCTTTAAAAATAAGTAAAATTAAACATGCAAGTACTGGAATAAGATACCTAAAATAATATTATAATACACACATAATATTGTATTTATATAATTTTTTATCATTTGATTTTAGCTTATTTCACATTTTATTACACATATACTTTAATTATAGAGAAAAATAAAACCACTTTATGTCATATTAAGTGAAATATTTTTATCTTTTTTTTAATAATACTTTCTTTTTATTTTTTCTCCTAATTTTATGGAAAAGAAAAAGATAAAAAAAAAAATCAAATATATACCAAAAACACAATCATTCCATTTAACACCACATTATTGTTATTTTAACGTAGGGATCCGATTCTTATAAACGCGTGCCGAGTTTTTTTTTTCTCTTTCACTAATACAAATGGGTATTTACAAGTTGGGAAAATATTTTCTACATAGTAGGAGAATTGTTTTCTTCTACCATGTCTTCAATTTTCAGGTAGCATTTTTTTTTTTTAATAAACATAAATCTCATACAAGATATGTCTATGAAAAAAGTGTTTGTCATTTTAAATGACATAAAGTTATGTCATTTTAAGAGAGAAATAGACACAAGAAAATATTTTTTATTTAAAATTTAAATTAATAAAAAACCATTCACTTTTTCTTCTATGATTTTCATTCTTTGTGTTTATCTCTCTTTTAAAATGACAAACACCAAATCTTACGTATAAAATATCTATTTCCTATTAGATGAAAAAATAAAACCCTTCACAAGTTTTATCCTTTTGATTTAAAAACTGTCAGCGCGAGTCCCACGAGTCACAAACTGTGGCATTTAAAAACGAGAAAAACAATCTATGAAAAAAACAAAAAAAAAAACGTGAAAAACAACTATTGCAACATTTTAGCCTTCAACATCTACAATCTTTCCAACACTCGATAACCTTGCCCACCACCAATTGCGAACTGTGGGTTAAGGAGCCACATTATACACACACATAATGTTCTGTGGCTACTTCCTCCAAGTCTGGAATGGAACATGAACATCACTTGAAGCGAACGAAACATTTGAAAGAATGAAGAGTCTTTGGCAAATCATAAACATGACTTTGTACTTGACAACAGATTACGCCTTGCAAGTTGCCGGAGCCACCTATGTGCATATGCTCCTCCTCTTCCGGTGCTTCTCATGCTCATTCCTGTGCTGTGTCAGTGTGGGCGGGTTTGGTGGGTTCATACCCCATGAGTATAAGTATAATCGCTTTTGCATCCCTTTCCACCCTGTGTTAATGGTAAGTAATAATTCTCTTCGAATTTTTTTTCACTTTCTATACTCGAAATTACAGATATATAGTCCGTGTCTAATGGAAATGAATGTAGGATATTCAGTTTTTTATTTTATTTTCAAGTGATATATTCTTGTAAAAGTATTTGTCATTTTAAATGACATAAAAGTTATGTCTATTAAGACAAAATAATATTTTTTTATTTAAAATTTAAATTAAAAAAAAATCACTAACTTTCTCGCCCATGATTTTCATTCTTTGTGTCTATCTCTCTCCTAAAATGATATAATTTATGTCATTTAAAATGACAAACATCAAATCCTATAATTGAAAAAATATTTATTGTTCTATCCTAGTCACAATGACTGGTATGTTAATATTGTCAATGATTGGTACGTTAATATTGTATTTGTGTTCCCTCTCTCGGGCATTTATAGGGGAGATATCTTAGAAATCAGCATATCACTGTACACTATAGTACTGGTATATATACCCAAAGAGTGATGTATATGTACAGTGACAGCTAAGAAGAGAGGGTTTAGACTATGTGTACTTATTGGTTTAACTCTTTATTTATAGATAAATTACCTAACAATAGTAGAATTATGATCTTTGAGGGGGTCCAGTTCATGATCTATTATTGTCGTAATAGGATTAATATAATTAAGAAATCTTTCCTTAATTTTGTCTTAACCATAAGTCATTCTTAGGCCTTTTGGAATGTAGGCATTTATTAGGTCGATAACAATTATATTAAAAACTTGATGTAAATTTTTTATTGAATGCATGATTATTTTTTGTTTTTATTAAATACTATGCTAACAATCATGCATTGTATTAAGGTAAAAAAATTGAAAATTTTAAAATTTGAATTATGTAATAGGAAATAATCAATTATGTTCTTAAAATAGTATTAATGATTTAAGTTTTCAATTATTTTTAAAAATGGAAATTTTGATTATTTATTTTTAAATATTATTAAATTCTTTCCACAACTAATATATTAATAAATTTAAATCTTAGATTTTAAATTATTTATTATAAGATGATAATAAAATTTTAAAATTTTTATGATAATTTATTATTCAGGGCACAAGAAAATTATGAAGCTTCTAAATTTTGATAAACATTAGTGTCATGAGCAGGCGTGGAAAGATATCACGCGTGACATATTGGAGAAATGGAGACCTATGGCTTCATATGCATTAGGTTTGATCTGGCTTAGGCTTATTATTAACTAAGTTGAATTATAATTTTTTTAAATCCTAGTTAGTTAAAAGCGTCAAGTTCAAAAGTCTTTTAGGATTGGCCTATTTAAATAAATATAAATAATATTATAATCGAATTAGATTTTTACAGCAATATCTGGAAATTATATATTTGTTAGTTTATTTAAAGACTTAGGTTAGTTGGTCAATTAAAAGGCTTAGGCTAATAAGCCTATATAGAAATAGACCTATTGATAAATGCCTTATTATAAAATAGACCTTTAAATATGCTTTCTGATTAAGTCAGATTTTTAATAAACCTATATAAGATAAATAGGTCAAATTTAGATGTTATATTTATGGAATAGGTAAAGTCTGCCAAGGCTAGTTAACTTAAATCTGCATTAGTCAAAAAATCGGGAATATGAACTATTGTCAGTCCGATACCTAAAAATATTTCAATTAACAATCTTCTGCACAAAATATTTCAGTTAACCCTTTGTACCTTAGTCAATTCATATTGTATTGGTCTGATCAGTTATCCTATCCAATAATATTTCACACCAAGCATGTTTAAGACGGTCAATTTTTGAATTATTGAGTACATATAGCCTTAATAAAACATTTTTTCAAAAGATATATATATATATATATATATATATATATATATATATATATTGTTATCGAAATCAACCAAATTTAGTCGTCTTAAAGGGTCTTGTCCATTAAGCAAGACATATGGTATCAATCTAACGCTTATATATAGCGATTTTGGCGGTTTCACTAGCATTGTGGCTGTTACCAACTAATGCAAGTTAATGTGATACAAAATTAGTGTATGATGCAGTTCAAGACTCTGCATGCTGAGTATATTTTTGGTACTACAAGAGGACCTACTTATTTACTAAAAATAGAAAAAAATGAGAATTAGGTGAGAATAATCATAAAATAATACGTAAATGATAAAAGTCATTTATACTATTTTTTGCCAAATTTAGTAAAAAATGTACTCAACTTTCGTACTACGAAAATATAGAAGAAATTTTCCTGCATGCTGCTGCTTATTCTCCATTGTCGAACTTAATTAGAAACTCTCATCCTATTATCCACAATTTCCTCCTCCAAAATCCTCTCTTCTCCCTGATTTTCTCCCTTTTCCTCTCTGATATCTTCATCTATCCTCTCTCTCTCTCTCTCTTTTGATTTCTAAAATTAAACGGTACAAAAGTCCGAGAAGAGCAGAAAAACTTGTTAGATTAAATAGATAAAAGTTATTCATCTTAAAGCTTGGTAACAAAGTGAACAATATCTGACGTGCTAAACAATCATTTTGCTTAAAAAACATTTATGAATGATTGCTTCTTTGTTTTTTAGAAATAATTAATCTATACTTTGATTAAAAGTTAATTAAAACTAACTGTTAACTCTTTTTTGGGCATGAAGAAAAGAATACAAGCCACTTGGCAGATCCGCAGAGCAGAGCAGGAGAGTATTCCGCAAGCAAGATTACAAACAGTGAAAAGGGTGTCTCTTGCATCATAAGGGTGTCTCTTGAATCATTGGATCTGCCATGCGGGAAATTACTATATAAATATTGGAAAATAGTAGCTCATTTTTTGTGTTCGTGGAATACGCTCAAAAATAAAAATAAAAATATGGAATATAGAATATGAGTCAAAATAAATATAAAAACAGGTATAGGATCCGTTTACAAATTTTTTTTGCAAATTACACTAAGTACGACCGGTCGTACGCTGCATGATTAAAATATGACCGGTCGTATTTAAGTGTAGTTTGTAAACAAAAAATTTATAAATATAACCTGTCCGTAAAGATAAAAGTAATATAATAGTATTACTTTTTACAATATTTGGTAAAAAAAAATATGGTGTATTATGATTCTTCAAGAAACACATATGATACGGTACTCGCTCCTGTGCACTCTTCATAACCACACTACCTCATCTTGTTGTGTCTCTGCAAATGGACCGTCTCTCAGAAAAGGAGAATGTGATGGAAGAACCACTTCTGAACAAGGACAACTCAAATGCCAAGGGTGGCTTCAGAACTTTACCTTTCATCATAGGTAATTAGGCATCATTTTTTTTTCTGGTGTAGTCCAATGAGGAGTGATAATAAATCTGTGTTTCCCATTTGTTAAACCTTATTAATTTTGTATATAAATGTTCTTGTGGCAGCAAATGAGGCATTTGAGAAACTGGCTAGCCTTGGGTTAATGCCTAACATGATATTGTACTTGACCAGAGAGTATGGCATGCAAACTGCAGGAGCCACTAATTTACTCTTACTCTGGTCTGCTGCCACCAATTTCACACCCCTCATTGGTGCTTTCCTTGCAGACTCCTATTTTGGTAGATATTCTATGATTGCTTTCGGATCTATTGCTAGCCTATTGGTAATTTTCTTTCTTTTCTCTTTGTGATTGTTTGTCATTGTCTTGGTTAGTCACTGCTCTATTTTCATTGTTCAGCTCAGGAGCTCTTGTTTTGTTTTGTTAATTCTCTCTGCCAACTTCATTAATTTGGCTTGTTAATGACATGAAGTGATAAGTAATTAGAAGGGAATCAGTAAACTAAAATTGACTTTTGTCATTTGCTTTGTTGGCGTTGTCCAGGGAATGATTCTTCTGTGGTTAACCACTATGATTCCAACATCAAGACCAATTTGTAACCAACTTACCAACAACGGTTGCAGCTCCCCTACAACAATGCAAATTTGGATCTTGCATTCTTCTTTTGCCCTCATGTCCATTGGAGCTGGAGGCATAAGATCATCATCCTTGGCCTTTGGTGTTGACCAGTTAAGTAAGAGGGACAAAGATGCAGGAATCAAAGAAAGCTACTTCAGCTGGTACTATGCTGCTGTTACAGTGTCATCACTGCTAGGTTTAAGTGTTGTTGTTTACATTCAAGATAACATGGGTTGGACAGTGGGGTTTGGAGTTCCCGTTATCCTAATGTTTATAGCTACTCTATCGTTTTTCTTAGCTTCTCCATTTTATGTCATGCTGGAGGCTAAAAGGAACCTGCTAAGTGGGTTAGCTCAGGTCATTGTAGCCTCTTATAGAAATAGACTTCTGCAGTTATCACATGAGGACGGGACTGGAATCTACCACCATGAGAAGGATTCCATTCTCCTAATGCCAACTGAAAAATTAAGGTACGATCCCTTTTGGACAAGCAGCACAGTTGTTGTTTTACTTGTATGCTTGAAGATCCGCCACTTGGTGTTAGAGTTGCTATAAGTTGGAATACTATTTTTCACTCTCTATCAGAGTTTACAACATTGGTGATCATGTGCCATGTATACACTTAATAGTCATGAATATGTTAGTATCAAACTGAAATCTACGCATATATATGCTATTGTTCGATTTCTGATTCACTTGAACTTAGTACTCCTGTAAAACATTTTTAGTAAATTTAAAGCAGAGGCTTAAGCAGTAATTTTATTGACTAGGTTTCTCAACAAAGCATGCATAATCATAAATCCCTTGCAAGATCTAACACCGGATGGAAGAGCTTCGAATCCATGGAATCTTTGCACAATAGACCAAGTGGAAGAACTCAAGGCACTTCTCAAGATAGTCCCAATTTGGACAACAGGAATCATGATGACTGTGAACGTCAGTCAGAGTTCATTTCTAGTACTAGAAGCGTCCTCCATGGACCGCCACATTACTTCAAACTTCCAAATTCCTTCAGCATCCTTTGGTACATTTATGATTTTATCTATAATACTTTGGATTGTACTATATAACAAGGTTTTAGTCCCTATGGCATCAAGGATAATAGGGCGCCCAGCATGCTTAGGAGAAAAACAAAAAATGGGAGTTGGTCTTTTTTCTTGTTGCATAGCAATTGCATCACTGACAGTAGTAGAGAGTATTAGACGCAGAATTGCTATTGAGGAAGGCTATTCAGAAAAACCACAAGCTGTGGTGAACATGTCTGCACTGTGGCTCTTGCCACGGCAAATCCTTGATGGATTGGCTGAGGCCTCAGGTGTAATTGGACAAAATGAGTTTTTTCTCACTGAGCTACCTCAATCTATGTCTAGCATAGCATCCACTCTTTGTGGCCTTGGATCTTCGGTTGCAAATTTGGTATCAAGTTTTATTCTGAGCGTTGTTGACAATGTTACTGGAGACGCAGGAAATGAAAGTTGGCTTTCAAGCAACATCAACAAGGGTCACTATGACTACTACTATGGTTTGATTTGTGCTTTGAGCATTGTAAATTTTGTATATTTTCTTTACTGTAGCAAATCTTATGGTCCTTGTAAGGGTAGAGGAAAATAAAATTTTAGGTGGATACAGATGATCATAGTATGTTGAAGTTATTCATGAATTCTCCTAAATTACTAGTTAATACATGTCTTGAGTCTGCCAAGAAAGCAAGTAGTACCTGGATAAGATTGGTAGACAGATTGGTGAGACCCACAGACATACAATCACTTTACTCTTGCTCCTTGTAACTTTGCCTGATGAATTAGTATCTGTTGTTTGGTCTGATCAGATATTTCGAAACTTAGCCACATTGTTTCTCCCATAAAAATATATATGAGATTAACTGAGTAATTGACACAACACAACCTAGCTAATTCAGGGCTTCAAAAAATTTTGGTGTCCATTGTAGTATAAAACAAAACTAGAACCCTACTAAAACATCACATCAGATTTCTCAACCAGTGGGTAGCTTCACTAAACTTTTTTCTGCTGAAGCATTGCATCTCAAATTGATCATTTATTCAATTAGCCGTATGTTTTATTTTGGATTTCAACAGTGACAATATAAATTTACTAACTTCGGAAAAGGTTACTTGGTTTGTCATCACATATATTTTCTGAACATCCCCGATGTGAATGTCATTTTCAGAATAAATAAACATATCCAGGTAGTGTATTGAGAGGGAACAGATGGTTCGGCTTCTAATCCCAAACAAAACAGATTTTTTGTTTTTATTTTCAGTTGATATATTTTTAATAATAGTTATAAAAATGCCAAAAAAAATTATTTTGTTTTGTTTTTATTGTTTTCACAATTTCTTTTGTAAATTCTTACAAATAAAAGATAAAAAAAAATAATGTAATATTTTTAAATATTAATAAAAGCATATCAACTAAATATAAAAACAAAAAATAAACTAAATACACCCTAATATTTTAATTATAGTGACCTAATTCATCGTTTGCTGAAAAAAAAAATATTTATATGATGCTTCTAACATAATATCTAATGCTTTTAAACATTTCTTGGCTCGAACGGGAGTAAACTCGGTGTTTATTCAAACTTCTAACGTAATATCTGATGCTTTTAAATATTTCTTGTCTCGAACGGGCTTTAATTTTGTGGTCAGTTTGCCGTTAACCCAGAGCTGAGCTTGTTCCTGTGAATCGCTCGTTCAAATTCTCTAATTTTTTTTGGATATATACATTCCTTTCATAATGTTGACCTAAACATAACAAAGACTTAAAAAAATTTCTAGAGATCAAAACTTAAAGATGGGGATAGGTTTTATTTTTTATTTCTTTCAAAACTCCATGGACATGCAGAAGAGAAATGTTATTCCCACTCAGACCAAGACATCACTTTACTTGTTCAAATAACAATTAAGGTGAAGCAGAGTCAGGAACAACAAATCCCTTTATGAAAAAAAAAAGATTTATTTTGCAAGTAGTAAAACTTTTCCCCAAAGATCTGTTCCAAGAAAGAGATAATCTCGAACTTAAAGTTATCAATTATATTCTTTATGGAAATGGAAAATCAATTCAGAGAATTTCTGGAACAAGAATTCAATTAGTTAGGACTTGTTTAGTCGTAAATTGGGATCACGAAAAAAATATTTCTTCTATCGACGAGGAACAATAGGGCCACTATGCTCATTACTAAACTTGTTGAAGAGATAAAATAGACCCAAGATTTCTCTTTTTGATCAGAGGTTGAATCGATCATCAGAACAAGAATTAGGCTTGAGTTAACTCAACCCTAATTATCTCTTTGAGGCGAGTTGGCTCCCACATATATCTCCATAAGTTTCGAATCTTTGAATCGGCTATGGAACTAATTCAGAATGCGGAGCTGGTCATGATGGAGATATTTAAACCGCTCCCAAATGTGGCATATGAGGATCAAACCAAGACACTTTTCTTTTCACTTAATTACTCAGTTTTCCTTATTACCAGCTACCATCATTTGGTGGGATCAGTGGCGGACCCAGAATTTTTTTTTTATGTCTGCACACTTAGAGCGGGGCTTCAGAGGCTCTGATATTTTTTTAAAGATCATGATCATCATCCAATTTTTGCTTCCACTTCAAAAGTAAAGCTTTGGTGAATCCACCAAAGTTTTAAGAAAATAATTGATAATGATAATTAAAAAAAATAAACATCACAAAAAGACATTTTTACAATATAGTATAATTGTAGGGGTTAATCGATCAAAAATCAACCTTTATTTGTAGATATCTATTTGATCCAAATTTGGCCATTTTTGTTTCACAAAAGAAGTAAAAAATCTCGTATGATTCTCCTCCACTTGATGAAGATTAAATTTCAAGACTGTTAATATCTATTAATATTTGGAGTTAATAAGGTTTATGTAAAAAAGAAGAGACAAAGCAATCGACTAAGATTTAAGTTTTAAGCTTTTAATTGTAGGGGTTGGTTGGGTTAGGCATATCTTTTCCTTTTTCCTTTCAATATTCCTATTTCTTTTTTTCTTTTCTTTTTTGGTATGTTTGTTATTTTTTTACTTGACCTGAATCATCTATTTATGTGAATGATTTTCTCTCTCCCATCTTTGTGTCTGCAAGTGCAGACACTTGCAGCCACCTACGTCCGCCGTTGGGTTGGATAAGTTATTCTACCTACCACCATACCTTATCTATCATTCTTCAATATCGTTAAATTAGAATCTCAACTAACATTTATCATTTCTCTTTCTTCTTAAAATTCTAATCTAATGATATTGGAAAACGATCGGCAAGTAGACATAAAAAAAAAAAAAACTTATCGCTTTAAAGATAATATAAGTAATTTTAATCATCGTAAATGACACCCATTGGGTCAAGTCTCTAACTTTAGTAAAGCAGTCCAACTAGCAGCTTTGTTGCTTTCCTTAATTTGGATTTTGGATTAAATTTCCATTGGAACTGGTTGGATATATAGCTACTCGTACCATGCCTTCATTGGAGCCTCAACCATTCTCCGCGTAATTGTGTACATTCAACATAACCTAGGATGGAAAGTGGGTTTAAACTTTAAAGTATACTTGTTGCGCTTACGTTCTTATCGGTTCAAATTTTCTTGGTAGGTTCACCATACTAAGCCAAAGAGAAGACAAAGAAAAGCATATTCACCCCTTTTATTTTTAATTATGTTTTTATTCACTCGTATATTATAAAATAAAGCCATCACTCATAAAGGTGAAATAATCTTCTATCGTACCACTTTCTTCTTTACCTGGATTCATAATTGTTTAGCACCTTTTTTTATATATTTTTAAAACTCTCAAACAATTAATTACTCCTGAATTTCTCTTTCTTTTTTTTTCCTAAATTTTAATTGTCTATACTCTCAAAATAATAACTTTTAAATTTTTGTATATTAAATTTTTTCTCTCCTTAAACCTCAATTTATAATTTCAAATTATTTCCTTTCAATTTTTTTACATTAAAATCGACTGATCATTTTTATTTTCAAAATATTAATTACTCAACTCTTATATATTAAATTAGAATATACTATTTTTCTCTCTTTTAAAAAATATATATATTAGGCGGTTTCGTAGCACTGCTCTTTCATTACTATTACAAAAAAGCGGTTCAAATTTCGGCAAAGGAAATATTATTTTATCCATTATACATAGCGAAAAGTATTTCTCCAAGTCACTGCAGATAACGTTATTTCTAGTGAGCTCAAAACGACGTCGTTTTGAGTTATAAGATTAAAAAAATATAATGACAAAGACTAATATAACCCTGCAATATATTATAATTACAAAAATACCTTGATTTCCGTCCCAAAACGACGTTTTGAACTTACTGGAAATAATTTTATTCCCGGTGACTGGAGAAATCCTTTACCCTTATATATATATTGGAAATATTATTTTCTCCATTTTTTTTTATTTTTTTTTGTAAACTTTATTTTCTCCATTTAGATCAATGCATGTATGCTTATTATTCCGAACAACCAACAATAAAGTCGTGTACATATGCATCATGCACGGATTACTTAAAGACTAATAATATTACGCTGACCACCATTTCATGTGGTGTGACAAAGCTTCACAAACTCAATAACCACCTTCACTGAGTTAGTGGCGGCGAGTGGTGCGAATGTATCAGCCTCGTTAGAATCAGCGGAGCCACCACCGGCCAAGTCGGAGAGAGCCCTAATAGCAATGAAGGGCACCCTTTGTTGTAAGCAAATAAGGGCCACCGATGCACTTTCCATATCTACTGGGCTCACATGGAACTTATTGTAGATGAATGTTCTGTACGCTGCATTGTCTAGGTAGATGCTTGCACTTGTTCCTCTCTCCACAAGCGACACCTTAGGAGTCGTCGACAAGCATGTCGTTGAGTTCAAGCACTTTTCTAGCTTCAAGCCCTGACAAGATATTTCGAAACTTAACCACATTGTTTATACCATATAAATATAAGATTAACTTAATAATTGACACGACACGACCTAGCTAATTCATGACTTTATATTTTTTATTTTTGTGCCCATTATTAGTATCAAACAAAACAAGAAGCCTATTAAAACATCTCACCCACCGAATTTCTCTGCTAGTAGGTAGCTACACAAAACTTTTTTCAGCCGATGCATTGCATCTCAAATTGATTATTTAATTAGCCATATATTTTATTTTGGATTTCAAATAGTGACAAAATAATTATACTAAACTACGAAAAATGTTACTTTGTCATTACCAATATTTATTTATTTTTTTGGTGAATCCAATATTTGCTGAACATCCGAGATGTGAACAATAACAATAATAATAATAATAAAACATTTAAAATATTGTTCTGGCTTCTAATCCCAAGCCAATTGGTATCACTTACCTCCAGTTTTTTAGCAATATGGTAGTACTTGGTATCAACAGGAACCCAAAGGGCATGTTGCCTTTCTTCTGGAATGCCATCAATGGGAAAAATCTCCTCTGGTTGGTACCATATGTTGTTGAGTAGGTTGTCAAATGTGCTGCCCGCACTTAAGTTTGAGGTGAACTCTGCAAATTTTAAGTACCCTACTTCCCTCGTGTAGTCTCCATTAGCTTCTAAGGCTAATTTATCATCAGGCCCTTGTCCGTATCTCTGCATAATATATAACACCCCAAATCATTTATTAATCTTTCAATGTTCTGTATAGTTAATTAATTAAACAATCAAATTCAAAAGAATGAATGTGTTAATTAGATCATTTTAATTAATTAACTTCAAAAAAAATATTAACAAGAAGTTGAGTGTCCATGAAGTATAATGCAAGCACCGAGGCACACGCATTATACTCCATGGACACTCAACTTCTTGATTAATATTTTCCTTTGAAGTTAATATATATATATATATATATATATATATATATATATATATATATATCCTTCAAGTTGCTTTTGGAACCACATGTCCCACTTCAAAAAAAAAATTATATATCCATGCATATGTTCCATATTTCATATTATTTTTCACAAAGTATCACTTTTGCTGACTTGTCATTTAAAAACTAAAAACCAAAACTCCTTATAGTCATCACAAAATTGGACTATACATGCCATGAACCTTTTTTTTTTAAAATGACATAAAATAAATTACAAAGCTCGAAAGTAGTCCTTTATGGGTGCAGCTTCATGCTGGGTTTTGCTCTTTCACTAAAGTTCAATAGAGCCTAATATATAAAAAGAGCTCAAGAAACCTAGAGCTCATTCAGCTTAGGATTAGGATTTCCTAGAACTCAAATATATTCTACAATTATAGTCATTAGTCTCTTAGGTCTTCACTTTGGTGGTTGCAGAGACTAAGGTAAGGTCATCTCCATGATAGTGAGAGAGTGCCCACACACCAGTCTTATCTCCCTTGAGAGATAGTCTAGAATATCTACCACTAGGCAGACTCAGGGAGATTGATCGTGTTGTGACTAGATAACTTTACACACAAGGAGGTTGCTCAAATATTTGCGCTCCAAGAGATATGTCCTGTGTTTGTGAGACGATGATGATTCGATAAATATATTAATGCATTAGGTCTTAAATCATTTCCGCATAAATCCAATAGTTCATACACTTCTTTATATGGATCTGTAATTATTTTATAACAGAGTAACTTATTTTATAAATTGCAAGTTTTTTATTCTTATTAAGTTCTTCAAAAAAAAGTTAATTTATTTCATATGTATATAAAAAACTTAAAGAGTAACCACATTTTTTTTTATGATAACAGATGAAAGGAAACCCACACTTTCATATTATAATGTAATTGCATTTTTGTTTTATTGTAATCAAATAAACGTTAAGGCTATGTTTGGATTAATGGATAGGAATAAAAAAATGATATCACTCGTTACGGTTTAAATTATTTTAAATAAAAAATAAAATAAAATAATTTAATATTTGTCAATATTTATTTATTTCCTCTTTTAAAATAAACCATTACTCTCACAAAACATACCCTTGTGTGTGGGGAGGGTTGACTCTTAAGTTTTAAGCTTAATTTCTTTTATTTATGGTATCAAATAATTTTCATTAATCCCAAAATATATCTACCCCATTAATATCAAATTTTAGCCAAGTCTATTTTTTTAAAAGCCATATCTTATCAAGAACCTGTGAACACGGTTGAAACATATAATTCTTTTGTACACGTAATCTGTCAATGTTGTACAAAAACTTAAAATGTTAGATGATCAAAACTTTTTAGTCAAAATTTTGGTGGAAATAAGGCAAAAGATGATGCAAGAGAAAGAAAAAGATATTAGAAAAAATCTTGTAATACCTGCCAGTTCCAAAGTGCTAAATGAGCCCAATAGTGTGGAATGGCTACGTCTCCAATATGCAAGGACGGGTTTGCATTTCCAGCAATGCCATAATGCACAACTCCATCTACTGAGAAAAAGCTTAACAGAAGCTGAGTAGTTATAGCTGCATTTATCTACATAGTATAAAAAAATAAAATAAAAAAATCCCAATTAATATCACCCATCTAATAGTGATCAATAATAACTAAAAAATTTATCAGCGGAATAAAAAAAGGAAAAAAAGAAAGCATACCACGCTCAATCCTGTCATGACCAGTAGAACAGGCTTGTCTCCAATGGAACCAAAGCGAAATCTCCTTCCTTCATTATTAGCCATATAAAAAAAAGAAGAAGGTAAATATAGGAAGAATATAATTAAAAGATAACTGTTTCTTGGAAAATTTCCTAAACATGATTATGTTGGATAGATATTAATATTTAGTACCTGCGAAGTCAATGATGGTGTCACTAGCAGTATAGCCTGGATTCTGAAGCAGAGGGTCTAGTTCAAACGAATTTGGTATAACCAAACCTAGATAAGGTCCCTTTTGGTTTGCTTTAGCAATTTTGTTTTGCAATTCTGATGTCAAAGCACCACTTACGAATGCATGTTGTGCATTGACCATCAAAAATGCCGCAAGAAGCATGAGTAAGACTCTCCTAGCTCCTGCCATCTTTATGACAACCTAGACACACTCAATAGAGAGAGCAAAAACAGTAGGACTTGAGAAATGAATGACTGTTGTTGGTTTTTATAGAAAAAGCCAGGCAGCTAGCTAGGGCGTACAAGCATAATTGAGGAGTGAAATTATTACTTTAAGGATATTTACAAACTTTTATTTACAAACTCTTACAAACTACACTAAGTATGACCGGTCATATTTCAATCAAGAATGTCATACTTAATGTAATTTGTAAAAAAAAATTTGTAAACGGGTATTTCCCTACTTTAAAGACCTAAACTTTAGATCATAAATCAATTAAGAAATTACGCTTTTATTTATTGTCAACTAATGACCTCGGTTTCATTGGAAAATATTTTAATAAATAACATATTTAAAAGGAAAAATATCTAAATTGATGTATGTATAAAAATGATTGGTAACTAAAATGAACAAATTAAATATGACATTTATATATAATTTTAAAAAATTAATTAATAAATATTATTATTATGCTTTTCTACTAAAAGAAGAATCCTTAATTAGCAAATTTTAAAATTATTTTAAATTAATTATCACAATAAAATTATTTTTCATCAGAATTTGATAAACACCCCAAAGATATTGAGACGAAAAGATAACGGACAAGAGGAAAAGGTTGGATGGAAGATGCAACTTGTGGTTGCAAAACCACCCTAATTTATATGAAGCCGACGGATTGTCCTGTTTCGATGACTTTAAGAAAAATGGAAAATAAACAAATAAGTGAAATAACTGATTTTTTTCCCTTTTCTCGTCAAAGAAATAAATGATATTATTTTTTTCTATCTTTATTTGATATGTGACTCAGCAGATATTATAATTTAACTAATTGTTGGAATAGAAGATTCTATATGTTGTTATGATTTGCTGTGATATGTTGTAACCTGTAGTTTGTTAGGATATGTATAACTGAGTCCTATTGTAATTAGGTGTAGTTATTTATCTTTAGGAAGTTGTTTTACTATTTGGTAACAGACTGTTTGGTAACAGCCGTAACAGTCTATTCTATTTAAGATACATTGATGTACAGTTTTAAATCAATGGAAATACTATCAATTGATACCATTTATCATGGTATCAGAGCGATCCCTTGTTAAAAAAAAAAAAAAAACTTCCGCAACGTGTAGACTCTGAAAACAGTGAGCAGGAGATAGCTTCTGTTGAAGATGGCCAATGAAAACAGCAGCAGGTTGAAGCCATCAGACCCTGGATCACCATTCTATCTGACTGGATCAGATAGCCCAGGGATTCTTTTAACAACCGTTATGCTGAGAGGAGAAGCCAACTACGAGAATTGGAGCAGTAACCCACAAGGAGGATTCCATGCAAAGCCATTTGGTGCACACGCAGCTCAAACGGAGGAACCACTAGAGCAAGCAAATGCATTCGCCGTTCTGACACCTGACGTGGTGACACAATTGTTATCATTGGTTGACAACCCGCAACGCTCAAAGGACAAATTAAATCGTAAAGATTCCCATTGTCACTGGTTTATAGATAGTGGTGCATCACGCCACATGACAGGGGTATTGGAATTGCTGGAGAATGTTACAGATGTTGAACCTTTGGCAATCGGTTTACCCAATGGAGCTATTACTTATGCTGTGCAACAAGGATCTGTTTCGTTTACTCCTTCTCATTATCCAATGTCTTATTTGTGCCAAATTTAAAGTGTAACTTGATATCTGTATCTCAGTTGGTACGACAACATAATGTTGATGTGGTATTCACTAATAATAGTTGTGTTTTGCAGGACCGCAAGCTGAGGACGGAGATTGGATTGGGTGATCACAGGGATGGTGTGTATGTGTTTCGACCAAGCCAAGCAGCAGCTTTAACAGTTCGCTCCAGTGATACGCAAGAACTTTGGCACAAGCGGTTGGGCCATGCATCATCCGAAGCACTTTCTCTGATTCCTTTTTCTAGTAGCATTCGATTTGGCAATGTAAACAATAAGGCATGCGATATTTGTTATCGTGCCAAACAAAATCGATCCTCGTTTCCCATTAGTGATCGAAAGAGTAATAAAATTTTTGATCTTCTTCATTGTGATACATGGGGTCCTTACCGCACTTCCTCTTTCTCTGGTGCTTATTATTTTTTAACGATAGTCGATGACTTCAGTCGTGCTGTTTGGGTTTGTTTGATAGGTGACAAAAGTGAAACTTTTGGTGTGTTACGAAAATTTCTTTTAATGGTGCAAAATCAGTTTAATACAACAATTAAGAATATTAGATCAGATAATGGAACTGAATTTACTTCCAACAAGATGATTGAATTATTCACTACCAATGGTATATTTCATCAGAAATCCTGTGTTCATACGCCGCAACAGAACGGTCGGGTAGAACGGAAGCATAGGCATATTCTAAATGTGTCTCGTGCTCTTTTGTTTCAAGCAAACTTGCCAATCAAATTCTGGGGAGAGAGTGTGATGACAGCAGCTCATATTATTAATAGAACTCCCACAAAGCTTCTCAATGGCAAAACTCCTTATGAGTTTTTGCATGGATCTGTTGCTGATTACAGTCACTTAAGGATATTTGGCTGCCTATGTTATGCGGTGACACAACCAAAACCTACAAACAAATTTAGTCCACGGTCTAGGCGGTGTATGTTTGTTGGTTATCCTCATGGGCAGAAAGGTTGGAGAGTGTATGATCTTAATACTAAGGAATTCTTTGTGTCACGAGATGTCAGTTTCCACGAAGATGAGTTTCCTTTTGTTGCTATAAGTGTGCCTACACCTAGCCCATCATTACCTACATTTATACCAATAGATTCTAATGATTCTGCCAATCCAGTATCTCAATCAACTTCAAATGATTGTGAGGCAGAAGTGCAGTTGGAAGATAGGGGGAGTGTCCATCAGTATGAAAGGGAGCCGAATGAAGATTCTACATCAAATGCTGATCAAGTGCAAAGGAGTGAGGATCCAGCTCCTGCTCTCGTACAAAGGAATGAAGATTCAGCTCACGAACTTGTGCAAAGAAGTGCAGAATCAGCTCAAAACGATTCTCTTCGTCCAACACGCACACGAAGGCCTCCGTCCTATTTGAGTAACTACAAATGTAATCTAATTGAGGCACATACATACACTCCCAGTCTCACCTCTTCTAGCTCCACCTCAGGTATACGGTATCCAATTGCCAACTATGTGAATACTAACAATTTTTCTTCAAAACATCGAGTTTTTGTTGCTGCTATTGATGCAGGTAGTGAACCTCGGTCATTTAAAGAAGCAATGACCAATGATGTTTGGCGTAAAGCTATGGCTCAGGAGATACATGCACTAGAAGAAAATAATACGTGGACTATCACTGATTTACCTGCAGGCAAACATGCCCTTCCATGTAAATGGGTATATAAAATTAAATATCATTCCAATGGTAGCATCGAGCGCTACAAAGCAAGGTTGGTAATTGCAGGTAATCATCAAGTTCCAGGAGAAGATTTCCATGAAACTTACGCTCCTGTAGCGAAAATGGTGAGTGTTAGAACTCTACTCTCGGTTGCAGCTGCAAAAGGTTGGTACTTGCACCAAATGGATGTTCATAATGCGTTTCTTAATGGAGAACTGGACGAAGAAGTGTATATGCGCATACCGGCAGGCTTTAATCAAGGACAAGGAAGAAAAGTGTGTCGTTTGCAAAGGTCGTTATATGGCTTACGACAATCTCCCAGGAATTGGTTTGCAAAGTTGAGTTCCTCACTTATTAAATACGGTTTTGTTCAATCTGAAGCAGATCACACTTTGTTCACTTTGAAGCGTGGTTCTACCTTCTTGACCATACTAGTCTATGTTGATGATTTGGTGTTGGCAGGCAATGATTCCCAAGCATGTCAAGAGGTTAAGATTTATCTTAACAAGTGTTTTAAAATTAAAGATTTGGGTCACTTGAAATATTTTTTGGGCATCGAGGTTGCCCGTAGCAATGAGGGTATCTTCTTGTGCCAACGAAAATATGCATTAGATATCCTCAAAGAAACAGGTTTGTTGGATTGTAAACCGGTTCAGTTTCCAATTGAACAGAATCATCGCTTAGCTCTGGCAGATGGACCTGACTATGATGATCCAGGTCGCTATAGAAGAATTGTCGGCAAGCTAGTGTACCTTACGATCACTCGTCCTAATTTGAGTTATGTAGTGCACACTCTTTCACAGTTCATGCAAGCTCCAAAGGAAGCACATTATGAGGATGCCATTCGGGTACTAAGATACATCAAAATGAATCCTGGCCAAGGTATCCTCCTTTCTTCCAAAAGTGATCTCAAAATTCATGCTTTCTGTGATTCAGATTGGGCCAGCTGCCCTTTAACTCGCCGATCAGTTTCTGGGTTCTTCATTATGCTTGGAACCTCACCTGTTTCTTGGAAAACAAAGAAGCAACTCACTGTCTCACGCTCCTCAGCAGAGGCTGAGTACCGCTCCATGGCTGCCGCGACAGCAGAATTGATATGGTTGAAGTCTTTTCTTGCTTCACTTGATGTTATCCATGATGATCCTATGGAATTATGTTGTGATAATCAAGCCGCTATACATATTGCGGCAAATCCTGTGTTCCATGAGCGAACTAAACACATTGAAATTGATTGCCATTTTGTCCGGGAAAGGTTGGTTTCTAAGACGATTCGAACTACTTTTGTTCGTTCTCATTTGCAACTCGCAGACATTTTCACCAAAGCACTTGGTCGTGTTCCATTTCTTGCCGTTCTTTCCAAGTTAGGCATTTCATGTCTTCATGCTCCAACTTGAGGGGGAGTGTTGGAATAGAAGATTCTATATATTGTTATGATTTGTTGTGATATGTTGTAACCTGTAGTTTGTTAGGATATGTATAACTGAGTCCTATTGTAATTAGGTGTAGTTATTTATCTTTAGGAAGTTGTTTTACTATTTGGTAACAGACTGTTTGGTAACAGCCGTAACAGCCTATTCTATTTAAGATACATTGATGTACAGTTTTAAATCAATGGAAATACTATCAATTGATACCATTTATCACTAATATTCACTAACTCTTGACT